CGAAAAAATGAGGTTAACCGCCCACCATTCACAAAACTCAGCGGCTGAATATTGCCGTTACTACTGCGCCCAATACTATGCCGCAAATGTATTTTAAGCTGTCGTATGACAATTGTGGTAAGCAGTGCGCGCTTTCACACATCAGAACCTGGGTTCAAGCTCTGGTCAAAGCAACATCCCAAAAATATAGAAAAAGGTTTTTTCTTAACAGCGGTCGTCCCTCAGCAGGCAATGGCAAACCTCCGAGTGTATTTCTGCCATGAAAAACAGCTTCTCATAAAAATACAATCGCCGTTCGGAGTCGGCGTAGAACTGTAGGTCCCTCCGCTTTGTGTGACAACATCAAGGCGCATGCCACAAGTCGGAGGAGAAGCTCGGCCAAACAGTAACATATGTGTAAGCGCCATCTATTATTTTTATTATTATTATGACAATTGTCAGTTTCATTGTTATGACCTACTGAGTAAGTGACAACGGCGAAGCAATGTTTATATTGTGTTTTAGGTGCAGTAATTGTAACAATAGTCATACGATGAATTTTGTCAGTGTTGTGGGAATAGAGCGGTAAGTTACTGACAACACCTTGTTATATTACACCATGTGTTGCGAAGTTTCAATAGTTTTGTATAGTAACAAATAGTCAGTACTAATTTGTACTGGAACCTGCTAATTTTTATTGGAAAAGTGTATATTAACCAAAAAAAATTGCAAGAGAGCACTGAGTCAAGAGCGTAATAAGACTGGAGATCTGCAAATTCTTGCTAGTGTAATTTTTACTAGCAGAAGAAGAAGAAGAATATATGTCAAAAGCTGCCATTTGTTGAATTGGTTAAGCGTAAACAAAAGCAAATTAGTGGAAATCAAAATATTAATGAAGTACGGGACTATGTAAGTGCTTGTGGGCAACCAAAGAGTGTTAAACTGATTTATAAATAGTTAAATGTTGACACCGCAATGTGAAAACAGTGCAACAACTGTTCAGATGCAAGTTTTTACTAGTTTTGTGTTCAGTAACTTTTTCTGCTAGTTTTCTCTTGTAAATTTTACGCCCTATTTTGCTTTTATGCAATTTTACTCGAAAAGTTACTATACACACCTAATTACTGTTCCTAATAGTTATTTATCGATAACTTTTACGATAAACGCTGTTCGAACACTTCCCAAGTGGAACCCAATGGGTCCATTTTAGCAGTTCAGTGGTTCCGCTATATATCTTTAAAATTCTTTAAATAAAAATATTTAACAATTCATGTACATTACATTGTTTAAGATCTTGCGCAGTGACAGGGGGCGTCGCCGTACATCGAAAAATCGGTTTTATTTATAAATTTAGTAACAGTGTCGTAGAAGCGAAAAATCAGTAAATTTCGTCATACCCAAAGAAACAACAAATTCGCTTAATACTGTGACAACCGCTGTCTGACGTATAGGAGCTAGTGGAACGTAAATAGCACACTGAACGCATTTCGGGAAGAAAAAACGTAAGCACCCATAAAAGCCGAGGAGAACGAAAAATAACTAATTTTTGTATCATATACAATTGATAAGGATTTATATATCGAACTGACAAGTTTGATGTTCAGTAATTAAAAATTTCCTGTGGACAGAAGACAACGTAAGACCCCACACCGCCAGAAAGCACGGAAGCCGCTTCAGAGGCTGACGCCAGTACGCCTGTCACTGAACCAGCGGAAGTTTCCAATCAAACCAGAATGGCCGAAGCTGTCGTTGATGAGCGTCCGCCGCTCCCTACACGTTTCTATTGCCATATGTGCAGCATGGAAGTAAACATTCCAAACACCGATTTCACCTGCCCACACTGTTCTGGTGGATTTGTTGAAGAGTTGCCAGCTGTACCGAGTACAACGAGCGCCAGCAGCAGTACTTCTAGTCTGGCTGATGGCCCCAGCAATGCTGGTAGCGATGCACTTGGTCTAAATCGTCTAGTTGATTTGGATGTCATTCGGGGCGAAATTGAAACACTGTTAATGTCACGGAACGGACCTATAGAAATTGCCATCGGCCCGGCGAATAGGCGCAATAGCATGCTTTTGGGCGGCGGAGCTGGAGGCACAAATGCAGGCAGCAACAGCAGTGGAAACGGGAGCTCTGGCGGTGGTCGCGTACACCCACCCAATTTGGGAAGTTTGGATACTGTTCTCCTTGATTTTTTGCAATCCCTTTCAGGGGGTGATGACGGGTATTTTGGCAATGCCCCAATGTTTTTCATGGGCAATCCCGGCGATTATGCGTGGGGTCGCGA